ATTCGCGCGGACGTGTCGAAGACACGTATTACCACGACCACGACACGAGACGAGATGGACGGCAGCGGCGGCGGCACGCGAGAGTCCCCCTTGTTCTCTATCACTCAACAAGGAAGTGGGAAAGCCAAGTCTTAAATACCATTCCCAATAGTATTTCCAATACTATGTGGGATTGAGCATTACCAACACTTGTTTCCAATACAATGTGATTATTCAGGAAACAATTAACAATCATGCACTTTAAAACAACTGAATCAACAACCAATTGCATTAGTATTATACGATTAAATATGTCATAATTAAAAGTCAATCTACAATCAATCGCGATTGTTGCAATTTTAAGCAAAACATTCAAAAATAATATCACTATTTAAGGCTCAATCTCACATAGTATTGGGAACAAGTGTTGGTAATGCTCAATCCCACATAGTATTGGAAACACTATTGAGAATGGTATTTAAGGCTTGGCTTTCCCACTTCCTTGTTGAGTGATAGAGAACAAGGGGAACTCTCGTGCACCGCCGCCGCTGTCCGTCTCGTCTCGTTTTGGTTCGTGGTCGTGGTCGTACGTATCTTCGACACGTCCGCGCGAATACTATCTTTTTAGAGAAAATTTTTAAGAAACAAATGCAATACCGTCATTGCGATTTTAGACTATCGCAACGAACTTGGAATAAATCGCAACGCGAACTTGGACTATCGCAACGAATTTGGAATAAATCGCAACGCGAACTTCGACTATCGCAATGAATTTGGAATAAATCGCAACGCGAACTTGGACTTGGAATAAATCACAACGAATTTGGAATAAATCGCAACGCGAACTTGGACTATCGCAACGAACTTGGAATAAATCGCAACGCGAACTTGGACTATCGCAATGCGAATATGTAAATCGCAATGCGATAGTCGAAGTTCGCGTTGCGAATCTGGAAACTGATTTGCGATACCGGAGATCGCGTTGCGAATTATCGATCGCATTGCGATTTAGTTGGTCATTTTGGCAAATAAAAAAAAATTGGTTAAAATCGTATATTATAAGACATTTTTGGTCACTGAAGTTATTTTCTCTTTTATTAATTATCATCGGATTTTTTGTTTGGTCGCTGGATCTCTGTTATCAAGATTTCTCGTTTTAACTGGTAAGTTTGTGGCTGATCTGCTTTCTTCTGTTGATAATAATACTGTTTCATTTAATATGTGTGGACTTGAATCTGCTTGTTTCAGAGAGGATTTGTCTCTTTAGCTTTTTTATATAGTATTTTATTTTGCAATCGGAAAGAAGTCTTATCTGGTTGCTGAATTAGTTCTGATAATTAAATTATGTGTATATAGATATACTGAGAGTGATTTTGGTTTAGTTGGAGTTGCAGGAGTATTATAGACTCTGCAATATTTGAAGCAAAATCCGTTGCTCCCGATGGCGACCGAGGTACATACACAGTTCAATATTTGTATGCTTATGCCTGGAGTGTAATTTGCATTCTACTTTATTAATTTAGAAGGTTGGATTTAAGAAGACGAAGAAGAAATTGTAATGAAAGCTGTCAATTTGCTGCGTGTACGCATAATTTGAGTCAAATGCTCCTATGCAAATTTACTGTTTATTTGATTGCTATCGCTATGTTTACTGGACCTTGAAAAATGTTCCTTTTATGGATTACTGCAATTTATGGAAACTTATGCTTCTTTTTTTATTAATTTTTCCCTCTGGCTATTCCAATTCGACTGTTTGAATGCGCTCATATATGTGTGGACCTGAATCTGCTTTAATGGGAAGGTTTAGCATTAGTTTGTGGTGGCGTAAGGGTTGTTTTTAGAATGGAAAGTTCTTATATAATAATCTTTATATTGTGAAGAGTTTTTCCTAATTGTTTAAATGATGATGCAAATTTCATATAGGACCAAATTGAAGGCACGGAATCACCTAATGCTCTTAAATCCGGTTTATGTTGTTCCATTGGCAGCCAACAATCTGAGTCATTCTCCCAATTGCAGGAGTTATATGCATTTAAGCATGACCAAACACCCAAGGTTCCATTCTTAATGTTGCCTCAGTCTTTTCTTTCCTTTCTATAATAGTCTCCAACAAGTAATTGTTAATATTTTCTTGATATACTCAAATTTTCCTGTAAAATAGGTTCGGAAGCCCTATACTATAACTAAACAAAGGGAAAAATGGACTGAGGAAGAGCATCAGAAGTTTCTTGAAGCTTTAAGGCTGTATGGTCGTGGCTGGCGCCAAATAGAAGGTAAGTACAGATTGGAGAATTTTGCATTCACTCTTTTGCCAGTTATGGTGTGAACAGATCAAGTTATACTTGTTTTCATGCAGAGCATGTAGGCACAAAAACTGCTGTTCAAATTCGGAGTCATGCTTAGAAGTTTTACTCCAAGGTATTGCAAAATTTTCTTGATAAAAAATGATTGTATCTTTTATGAAAATGCCATGTGTAGACATTTTTATATAGTTTTTTTTAATCGGCATCTCATAGTTGCGCCTTTGTGGTTTTAGGTTGCCCGAGAATCAAATGGTGGCTTTGAGAGTTCCACTAAATCAATTGAGAACCGTCTCCTCGTCCAAAAAGGAAGTCAATGCGTCCGTATCCCCGCAAATCCGTTGCTATACTCAAAGGAATATTTCCATTTTCTCAACCCGAGAGGTCTCCATCCCCCAATCACTTGGTTCCAGAACAGGATAACAAGAAGTCACCCTCATCAGTTTTGTCCTCATTTCTTTTCGATGCAATGGGGTCTACTGCCTCGGAGAAACCAACTAAATGTTCTTCCCCAACTTCTTGTGCCACTGCTAATATACAGTCACTCGATGCATCCCCTGTTGGAAAAGAAAATGACTGTGTGACATCTACAGAGGAAGAGAATGAATCTTTATCCACTGTTAAAGTATCAGGACATTCAACTGAGGAGGTCATTTTATCTTTGGTAAAATCTCTGCCTTTGTTCATTATATAAAACAACTATCACTGACCTAGAATTTGGAATCTGATTTTCTTCTTGTAATTTCCCAGAAATCCAATGCAAATTTTGAGGAACCTGTTTGTGCCAAAGGAAATGCAGAAGCAGTAGATATGTCTTTCACTAGTATTAAGCTTCTTGGGATAACAGTTGAGGTGAAAGATTCTGGTAATAATGCCGTCGGTGAGAGGCTTGTTCAGGCATTATCATCAACATGTTTGGACTTGCGTTTGTCACACGGGACAGTCATCAATGATTGGAGCAGGGTGCCTTCCAAATCTAATTTATCCCCTTGTATTGAAATCCACTCAGATAAAAATGACCGTGTAGAATACACCAATAATGCTCCTGTGCCATGGTGGGCTCTTTACCAAGGTCTACCCCTTTATTACATCACTTCATTTAATCAAACGAGTAAAGGCTCTTGTGTCAAAGAATAGGTGAAAGAGAAGGAAACTCTGAATGAAAGATCTTCCACGGCTTCAAATACTGGCTCAGTTAGTGAAACAGAAAATAGGGACAAGAATTCAGATTCTGTTGATTCTCAATGCCAAAAGTCTTCTCCTGAGGTTAAACTGACTCCCCAAAAAAGTAGCAAGGGGTTTGTGCCATACAAATGATGTTTAACCGAAAGAGATATGGAAGTGTCCGGGGGACGGGAGAGAGTGCAAAAAGCCCGAGTTTGTTCATAGTTGCCAAGGCCTTTGTGCACATAATGCAATTTAGTGAGAGGATAAAAGTAATCATATATTATAGGTAATTTTTTCCTGTTTGTAACATATCATTCAACATATCAACTACCTTCAGATGGCTCGTGTTGGTAGGTCGACACTCAATAAGCAGACTGGGTTAATGGCAGCTTTAACATCTGTGGTTCAATGTGTTCATAGGTCAAGAGTTGGAATGGCCTTAACATTACGGGGGTTCATTTGTGTGTTAAGAGTTAGAGGTGTATCCTAGATGTTTCATGTCAAGCATCAAGTTGAAGATATATATGTACATATTATGTCCTGATTCTAACATGTTTTGCTGCAATATTTGCAATCTTAATTTTTCCCCTTGTTCAGCTTGTTTACCCGTCTTAAACATAAACATTGGCCGGTTTGATGTTTGTATATTGGTATTTCATGAATCATGACACAGAAAACAATAAATTGTTATGACGGTTCAAGTAATCATTCATAATCTTGATTGGTGTAAGATCTATTAAAAGTATATGCAAATTTATGCCTTCAGGTGGACTTTCTTACAATTATGTTGTATGCTTAGAGTTGATACGAGGACTGGGGTTGGAGGATGTTGGCAGCCGTTAAGATGTGTTGGAGAGCCGTTGAGTTCAGGGGTTCGAGGGCCGTTGAGGTTGTTGCTTGGTGGTGGAGGGCATAACAATTAGATATCTATAAAATTGTAAAATGAAAATTACAGGCAAAATGCGTAGTACATTTGCTTTTAAGAAGCATTGCGCCCAACATCTGACAGATACTATTAGCCAAAACATTATAGTTTCATGACTTCACGCTTCAAGGCAACAAAAACAACATTTAAAAAGCATTCCGCAACCCTCTGCTAGCTTGCCTTTTCGCGATTTTTACAGTCAACTAGACCATAGAAAAAAAATTAAAAAAGAAAGAAAGAAAGGTATCATATCCTCCATTTATACCAATCTCGGATTTGATCATCGAAAACCAATATCTTCTTTCCCTTATGGAAGAAAAAAGGAACCTGACCTTAACAACTGGAGAAAAATGGATTCGAAGATATTCGTTACTACGTACTAGGAGTGAACCATAAAAAGAGTGGCATCGCAAAAGGCAAAGTAAACAAATCATGCAGCACGTACAAATGTGGCAGAATAAGAACAGCATCGAGCATGAGTAAATCTGGCAGGCACTCAGTTTGAACCCTTTTTAACTCCATCATGTATCGCCACCCGTACAAATATGGGGTTTGCACTCAGCTACCTCTGTTGTTCCAAAATTGTCATTTCCTAACTCACACACTGCGTTAATTCCTCGCCTAACACTTCACTCGGATCAAACAACTCCTATCCTAAATGGGGTAAGCCCTCTTTAGGAACCTGATTGTTCTGCAGTAATATGGCCATATTGATTCCACAAAGTCCACGTACTTCTCCATCAACCGCTCTTGGAAATCTTTCACCTTTTTTCTCCATACCTCTTTGTAGTCCAAGTTCTTCATGTCTTCCACAGGTAGCCACACGAGAGCCCGTACATCTTCCTTCAGCTTTCCACATGTGATATACTTGTAAGCCAGGAGGTAGTAAGTAGGTACGTTCCTAATTAGTTGAACCGTCTGCTTGAAGCAGAAAACGTACAGCGTGCACAAGCCTCTAAGCATCTTGATGTAAAGAGCAACAATCAAGGGCCCAAACACCCATAGTGGAATCAACTCCATTGAAACTTTGACCCCATATATCAAATTGACACCAAGGTACCATGGAACACTGCACATGTGGCAGAGCAACTGTAAGTGAGTAAATTGTTCATGTTATTATGAAATGATAGGACAACTCAAAATAATTGACAAAAGATATTAATGAGAGAATGAAAACCAAGTTACAATTTTTACCAAATCATCCCGGGGCGAGAATGAGGAGCACTAGGAACCAAATCAGAACCAGGGAGTCGGTTAACTTGGCAATGGTTTATCAGAGGCATACCAGAAGTCCTTATGGTTTGTCAAGATGAGAACTTTATGGTTTTCACTCTTCGCTCTTTTTAGTATACAAACAACCATTTGATATCACAAACATAATGCCACATGGTAATAAATCATGTAAACTGCTAGAAAATAATTCTGGGGACTGGGTGGGGGCAGAAAGAGAGAGAGCACATTAATTATACTTACAACATTAATAAGGGTATTTTGATTGCCGCATTCATTTCCCAGAAATAGCACCAAACAATCTTCAGAATCTCGCCTTTTCTATTACTTTGGGTGCCAACTTGAGTTTCTGATGCATCTTTAGGAGGTGCTTCTCCCCAAGGTCCACCACTTGACTTGGGTATTGTGATCGCAACATAATTATCCATTTCTTCAATAATTTATGAATAGAAGGTGATCCCACAACGTTCTCACCAGTTTCCGAGGCATAGGCAACTGGACCATTATGAGCCTTGGAAGATTCTATCGTGGCTGCTTCACCATCTTTTGGAACATAAGAAACTTTAATAGAACTCTTTGGAACATTCCCCTCATTTTTTCTGTCTCCTGATTCATCATTCAGAACACTGCCTTTGAAGGCTGAAATTCTAATATTTTTGGAGTCCAATCCAAGAGTATGAGCCCCTCTACTGCTAAAATAAGCATATCTTAATTTAAATGCTCAAGATGCATACAGCTAAAAAGGAAGTATTTGAATAAAATGAAAGGAAAATAGGACTGTGAAAGATAATGTAAGAAAAATAATAATGGAAAGTGTTAGGAAATAATTCAAGTACAAGTAATTTCCCTATTACCAGATTAGTGAGAATACGAAATAAAAGCGGAAAAATAATACCCGAAATTGATAACGGAGTTCAGCCAATTGTGCTTACGTCTCCAGACTGCTGCAGATCTTTTACTAAGAGAGAAAATTTACAGGTGTTTACAAAACACTCACTACTCACAAGAAAGCTCTCTAGTATTGGGAGAAAGAAATGATTTTTGGAATGGTTTTGAAGCTAAATGAGCTAGGGTATTTATAGTTGAAACTTAAGGACTTAATCTTGTAAATACCCTAAAGCCTAGGTATTAATTGTGATTATCCCATTATCATTTTTCAACAAACATCTACCAAACTTTGAAAAACTATTTTTCAAAGAAACATTTACCAAACTTTGAAAACCATTTTCAAAGAAACATTTACCAAACTTTGAAAACCATTTTTTCAAAGTTGGTTACCAAACTTGAAAACCATTTTAATACTTTCAACAATCTCCCACTTGAAGACTGATTTTAATCTGTCTTCACACCTCGATCAATGCAACAGCTTTTCTAGTCTTGTTACTCTAGCATGCCAACTGAAGTTGAACACAACTTCAGTTTGTCTGTAGTCACCGTCTTTGTCAACATGTCTGCCGGATTTTGAGCTCCACTGATCTTTTCAAGTTTCAAAATCCCATCTTCCAGAAGAGACCGGATAAAATGATATCGCAATTGTATGTGCTTTGTCCTGGAATGAAAATACAGATTCTTTGCTAGATGTATAGCACTTTGACTGTCGCAATACAAGACATTGTTATCTTGTTTCTTGCCTAACTCTTCCAAGAAACTTTGGATCCAAACCATCTCCTTGCTAGTTTCCGTAACAGCGACATATTCTGCTTCAGTTGTGGAGAGAGCAACTATCTTCTGTAGTTGAGAAACCCAACTCACTACGGTTCCTCCTAGAGTATAGACATACCCTGTAGTGCTCCTTCTGATGTCAACATTTTCGGCTAAGTCAGCATCTACATAGCCTGTCAGTATCGTATCTCCACCTTTGAAACAAAGTGCTTTGTTTGTGGTACCCCGCAGATATCTGAGGATCCATTTGACTGCTTCCCAGTGTACCTTGCCCGGATTATTCATGTACCTGCTAACAGCTCCACTGCTTGAGCAATATCTGGTCTGGTACAAATCATGGCATACATCAGACTTCCAATTGCTGAGGCGTACGGCACCTTCACCATGTGTGCACGTTCTTCCTCCGTCTTTGGTGATTGTTCTTTGGAGAGTCTGAAATGAACACCTAAAGGTGTACTTACTGGTTTAGCATCTTGCATGTTGAACCTGGAGAGTACTTTGTTGATGTACTCAGCCTGTGATAATATCAAATTCCCTGACTTTGTGTCTCTCTTGATCCTCATCCCAAGAATCTGCTTTGCAGCACCCAGATCTTTCATAGCAAACTGCTTTGATAATTTTTGCTTCAAGTTTATAATCTCTTGCATGTCTGAGCCTGCAACGAGCATGTCATCAACGTACAACAATAAAATAATGAAGCTATTTTCGAACCTCTTGATGTAGCAACAATGATCTGCTTGGCATCTGGTAAAACCACTGCTACTCATGAAACTATTGAACTTCTTGTACCACTGTCTAGGAGCTTGTTTTAAACCATACAAGCTCTTATTCAACCTGCATACCAGGTTTTTCTTGTCTGCCTCTATGAAGCCTTCTGGCTGCCTCATATAGATTTCTTCCTCCAAATTACCATGAAGGAAAGCTGTCTTTACATCTAACTGCTCAATATGTAAATTCTCTGCAGCTACAATTTTCAACACCAGTCTGATTGTAGACAGTTTCACGACTGGAGAGAAAATTTCATTGTAGTCAATACCTTCTTTTTGCTGAAAACCTTTGACAACCAATCTCGCTTTGTAGCGTTTGGTCCCATCGTGCTCTTCTTTGATCCTGTAAATCCACTTGTTGTGAAGCGCTTTCTTACCTGGTGGTAATTCAGCTAATTCCCACGTCTGATTTGACAAAAGCGAATCCATCTCATCTTTCATGGAAGACTCCCACTTGACTGAATCCTCCACCTGCATTGCTTCATCATAGCACTCTGGTTCACCATTATCAGTCAGCAACAAGTAGTGCAAAGAAGGCGAATAACGCTGGGTTGGTTTAGGAATTCTGGAGGAGCGTCTTAGTTCTGGTGTACCAGGTTCTTCCTCTTGAACTGCTTAGGACTGATCTGAACATCATTTCCAGAAATCTCCTCGAACTCAGCAAATTCCTTTGTTTCAGCTTCGGTATTACTTGATTCTACGGTTGGCTTGTCTTTGTACATCACATTTTCATTGAAAATGACGTCTCTGCTTCTGATTCTCTTTCGATTTTCATAGTCCCAAAATCGGTAACCGAACTCATCACCGCCATAACCAACAAAGGCACATTTGTTGGACTTAGCATCAAGTTTACTTCTTTCAGCAGAGTCTATGTGTACATAAGAAATACAACCAAACACTCTTAAGTGTGAAAGGTTTATTTCTTTCTTGCTCCAAACTTCCTCTGGTATTCTGCCATCCAAAGGAATTGAGGGCCCACGGTTGATCAGGTAAGCTGCAGTGTTGATAGCTTCAGCCCATAGAAATTTGGGCAATCCGGCATGTATCCTCATGCTTCTGGCACGTTCATTCAGAGTTCAGTTCATGCGCTCTGCTACGCCATTCTGCTGCGGTGTCATGGAAACTGTTGTCTCCATCTTGATCCCATTGTTTGCGCAAAAATCTCTGAATCTCCTATTTCTGTACTCTCCTCCATTGTCAGACCTTAACCGCTTGACTTTCATGCCAGTCTCATTTTCCACCATGGCCTTCCATTTTCTGAAGGTATCAAAGACTTCTGATTTTTTCTTCAGAAAATAAACCCACACCTTCCTTGTAGAATTATCGATGAAGGTGACATAATATAATGAGTCTGCAAGAGATGGAACTGGAGATGGTCCCCATACATCATTATGAACTAACTCTAACTTTTCAGCCTTGGGTGTCTTACCGATCTTTGCAAAGCTTACTTTCTTTTGTTTGCCAAAGATGCAATCATCGCATAGTCCGACATCTACATTCTTTAGATCCGGCAGCTTCCCCTTTGACAAAAGTGTCTTCATCCCTTTCTCGCTCATATGGCCAAGCCTTTGGTGCCATAGGTTTGATTTTCCATCAGCATCTGCTACTGCAATGATATTCTCTAAATTTGATGTTATATAGAGAGTATTAGTTTTCTTACCACGAGCAATGACGAGTGCTCCTTTGGTAATATTCCATTCACAGCCTAAAAAGGTTGTTCTAAATCCTTCACCATCAAGCTGTCCTACAGAAATCAAATTTCTTTTGAGGCCAGGAATATGTCTCACTCCTTTCAGCTTCCAGGTGGTTTGGTTTGGCAACTTTAGTCGGATGTCTCCTTTTCCGACGATCTTTAAGGTTTCATCATCAGCTAGATGAACCTTCCCAAAATCACCACTGACATAATTTTCCATGATTTCTTGGCATGGGGTGGAGTGGAAAAATGCCCCTGAATCTAAGATCCATGATTCAATCGGACTGTTGACGCTTAGAATCATGGCATCACCTGTCTCCTCTGTCATGTTGGCAGATTCTTGTGCGCCGGTATTTTTCTTCAGTGCTCGGCAATCTCTTTTAAAGTAACCCTTCTTACCACAATTATAACAGGTAAAATCTTTCTTTCCCGTTGTGGATTTTCCCCGTCTGGATTTCGATCTGCCATGATTTGAATTTCTTTCTGAAGTTCTCCCTCTGGACTCCGTGTGCAAAGCTGAGGAGGTTGATGCTTCACCCGATTCTCTCCGTCGAATTTCTTCGCTCAGTACCAGATCCCGAACATCGTCGAATTTCAATTTACTATTTCCCGACGAGCTGCTAACTGCTGTAACAGTAGCATTCCAACTGTCTGGTAGAGATGATAAGAGAATTAAAGCTCGAACTTCATCATCGAATTCAATTTCCACTGAACTCAACTGAGTTGTGATTGTGTTGAGTTCATTTAGGTGTTGTGCCATCGATGCCCCTTCCGTTATCCGCAAATTGAATAATCGCCTCATCAAGTGCACTTTGTTTGAGGCTGATGGCTTCTCATACATACTGGAGAGAGCTGCCATAAGACCCGTCGTGGTATTTTCCTTTGCTATGTTGAAAGCAACATTGCGGGATAATGTCAGTCGGATAACTCCGAGGGCTTGTCTGTCGATAAGAGCCAAGTCTTCATTCTTCATGCCCTATGGTTGCTTTCCTGAGAGAGGTTGATATAGATTTTTCTGGTACCGAAAATCTTCAATCTGCATCTTCCAAAAGCCAAAGTCCGCACCATCGAACTTTTCAATTTTCACATTCCCTTCGTCTGCAGCCATCGCTCCCACTCGAATCTGGTTTCGTTTGGATCGTTTCTGACAATTCTTGCGAACCACCGTGTATTAGAACACCTCCGTCGACAAATTTGTATCGCCGACAAAATTTTACTATTCACGAAATTCACTATTCACATAAATGGTAACCTCGCAAAATTGACAAAATTCACAACCAAAAGCTCTGATTACCAGTTGTTAGGAAATAAACCAAGTACAAGTAATTTCCCTATTACCAGATTAGTGAGAATACGAAATAAAAGCGGAAAAATAATACCCGAAATTGATAACGGAGTTCAACCAATAGTGCTTACGTCTCTGGACTGCTGCAGATCTTTTACTATGAGAGAAAATTTACAGGTGTTTACAAAACACTCACAACTCACAAGAAAGCTCTCTAGTATTGGGAGAAAGAAATGATTTTTGGAATGGTTTTGAAGCTAAATGAGCTAGGGTATTTATAGTTGAAACTTAAGGACTTAATCTTGTAAATACCCTAAAGCCTAGGTATTAATTGTGATTATCCCATTATCATTTTTCAACAAACATCTACCAAACTTTGAAAAACTATTTTTCAAAGAAACATTTACCAAACTTTGAAAACCATTTTCAAAGAAACATTTACCAAACTTTGAAAACCATTTTTTCAAAGTTGGTTACCAAACTTGAAAACCATTTTAATACTTTCAACAGAAAGTAGAAAAGTAAAAGAGTTCACTTCTTCCCTTTTCCACAGCAACAATGAATGCATAAAAAATGTAGATGAGAACAAAATAATTTGGTTTTAAAATAAAAAATATATTTATTTAGAGAGAATAGTAGTAGTATGGCACCAATGCGCCTTCTCTGTTTTCATATCATGCAAAAGTGTTCTTGTCATCCTTGCGTGTAAAGGAAATAAATAAGAATTTTGAGGCAAGAATTTGCTCATCCGAGAAGAGAGAACACATCAATGACAAAAATATATGATTACCGTAGACCTGTATTTGCTCATCCTTGCGTGTAAAGGGAAATAAATAGGAATTCTAAGGCAAAAATTTGCTCATTCGAGAAGAGAGAACACCTCAGTGACAAAAAGATATGATTAGCATAGACCTGTATTTATTTAGAGAGAATAGTAGTAGAATGGCACCAATGCGCCTTCTCTGATTTTCATATCATGCAAAAGTGTTATTGTCATCCTTGCGTGTAAAGGAAATAAATAAGAATTTTGAGGCAAGAATTTGCTCATCCGAGAAGAGAGAACACATCAATGACAAAAATATATGATTATCATAGACCTGTATTTATAGAGTTAGAGATAGCATTACTGCACTACTCAGGCAATGTTAGCACCATCAATCCACCATAACAGAATCAATGAAAAACTTTCCATTTACAATGAACAACATATTCGAATTCAATTTACCACTTCTTCACTAACTTGTTCCTTCACTTCTTTTTCTTGCAAAAAAGATAGAATAAAAGGCCTCTTTTTTTTTTACTTCAGTTTAAAGAGATCTCATTGCCTATTTTCTTTACAATCATTGGTAATCTGTTCATTCCCTACCTTCTTTCACCAACTTGTACCTTCACTTCTAAATTCTAATTTAAAAAAAAGAATAGGAAAACCGGGGAAAGGAAAAAATGTGTAAGAACAAACATTTTGGACTTTCTTAAAGCGATATATTCTATATGCCGAATTAAAAGCATTAGTCAGAGACCTTTCAGATCACCACATCCACATGCACCACGCAAATTGATCAAACTAACCATTATACTAAGAGACAAGCTACCAGCATGAAATGTATTTCTTACCATAAACAAGTGGACTGCCTCAGTGATGTGCCCTTCTCTCTTCTCCCAATCATAGGAATTGTAGCTACATGTCTCCTTAATGTCAATCCTTTCCTACATGATAAAGGCCTTGAAAGAAATGCTACATAAGAACCCTGCAATACAATAAAAATGGTCTTGAAGGAAGGCTACATATGATCCTTAAAATGCAATAAAAATGGCCAATATACTAAGCATTCAGATAAATACCAAAAGAAAGCTATGCTCCCTATATTTTTAGATGCGATAGCAAATGACTCTGTTTCTCAATAAAAAAAGTTCTCAAAGCAATACAAACAAGAGCTGCCAGAATGGAATTTTGCATCTCATGGGATTCAACAAACGGCACCTGGATGGACCTATCTGTCTTGGATGCAAGGTGGAAATTTTTTAAGTCGGCCATCAAACTCTTGGTTTTTAAAGAACTTTACTTCCAAGGCCCTGATTCACACACTCCTAGTCTATTAGTATTAGTGAAAATAATTCTTAGAGCACCTGCAATTGATGGGTCACCAACGCCATAGTCACAACTTTCACCTCAAGCGCCCAAACATTTATTCAACAAGGCCTAAACAAATGAAACAAACACATCATCAAACGAGGACAGAAACATTCAACTATATGCAAGCAAGAAATTCCAACAAACAATGATATGAAAGAAATCTCAAAAAGAACGCTGAAAACCCGATAGAGCAATACCAGCCATAGATCGAATCATTACAGGAACAAATTTCACCTTGTCAAAATTGTAACAATAAAAAATATTGAGCTAAGATTTACAATACAGACCAAACAACGGATATTTATACAAAAGTCGGAGTTGGCGAAAATGAAAGAGTTAGAGAAAATGAAAGAGTTGGCGAAAATGAAAGAGAAATCTATTAACTTTAACTTGTTTTCGGGAAAAAAATTGGAACTGAAAATATTTGCTATTTTCAAATTATCAACACATATTGACATTAACTTATCTCAATTTCTCTGTATCCAAACAGAGGCTGGAGCTAATAACTTCAACGTAAACCGATTTCTACACGTGAAGACACTAAAATTTGTCCGTTTAAATTATAATATACATATATATATATATATATAATTATATAACAACTTATAATATATGTATATATTATTATTTCAAGACCAATGCTACATATGACCCAAAGCCATTACAAACAAATCTAGAAGCCCGTTTACAAGACTCAGCAGCCCAACAGCACGTGACCCAGCAAGCTAGGGTTCCTAGAACCCTAGCATTCCTCCTCAGCGCCGCAAGCTTCATCCAAGAAGAGTCTCCATACCTCACGCCGCCGTTTCCATTTTCCACGACATCACTATCAGGTTTAACGAACACATTTTTGTGGATCAACACCTCTTTTGAATGATGATGCAAAAGATGGAAATAAAATAAAAGAGAATAAAAATGAAAAGAGTTAGTGAGGTAAAGATAAAAAATAACCATGAAAATAAAAGTCCTACCCCACATGATATCTACCCTACATACTTATCATTCCTGTTGGAAATATGAACTGTAAAACTACACCGTTAGCACTGATTGGAAATATAAACAGTAATTAAAAGGAACATATTCGTAAATCGTGTCGTGGTATAACCATTGTCTTAGAAACGGATTCGTCCTGATGTGTGTAATCGCTGCAGTAGGCGGACCGTCCTCCGAGGTTAACACGGTGGTATTGCTCTTCTTATCGGAAATCACAGAAAGAATAATTGCAGAAAACACTTTGAGAGTGATTGTGAATGTCGAGAGTGAGTTGAGAAGCTAAATATAGCCCTCTATTTATAGGCTAGAAATAGGGTTACATCGTCCATAAAATTTCAGGAATTAAATCAAATAACTCATGTAACTCCTGATATTAACAGCTTGTCTCCTCTGTACAAAGCTGGAAATTAGTCCAGATACATCTTAACATTTTTGATTTAATTTAGGAAAAGCTGTTTAATTTCTGATAACTCTCATAAACCAGCTGTTATCATTTGAAATTAAACAGTCCTCAGCAGCCTATAAATATCACTTGAAATCTTTCACATTTTTCCATTTGTTTATTTCAAAGAGAAATTCCTCAAGAATTTTCTCTAAAAATATAGTATCCACGTGGACGTGTCGAAGACACGTATTACCACGACCACGACCACGAGCCGAGCCGTGCCGAGACGGACGGCGGCGGCGGCGGCGGTGCGCGAGAGTCCTCCTTGTTCTCTTTCACTCAACAAGGAAGTGGGAATTCCATACTATAAATACCCATTCCCAATAGTGTTTCCAATACTATGTGGGATTGAGCATTACCAACATTCCCCCACTAATGCGAAAAAATTCTTCTGAAACTCGAAAACAAACTTTCTAGAAGAGTAATAGCGAGATTAGTTGCTTAAGCACTAGTGAACGTATCTGTAACTAGTACATAGTGATGATGGGCAATCTGTAACACCCCAACCCCTACCCGACCCGGATACGAGTCCGACGTGTCACATTGACTTTTCAAACCTTGACTCTTAAGAAAAATCCCGGGAAATTTAAAACTTTATTTAAAATAAAATACAGACTTGATCAGAGTGCTCGTACTTAATGACTTATTACATGCCAACACTTTATACATAACCAAATACATACTTTGTCAAATACTTCTGATATGATCTTTTAGTAGTGATACTGTATTTGCCACTTCTATTCTTTCACTTCTCGTTTCTTGGTACCTACGTGTAAATCACTTACACGCTAAGTCATAGACTTAGTGAGGCATATAAAACATATAATATAACCATATATCATTTCATATAAATAAAAGGCATACATATGCAAACACTATCAATAATCCTTTCCACTTACCATATACTCATCATATAACACATATATCACTATACCCAGAAACACACATAACATCATATAATTCATGTATGTGCATTCATATCATTGAATCACGACATATCAATATGCATGAATATTGTATGATAACAATATACAATCAGGTCATGAACACATGCAACTTACCTTCTTGTATCACTTTCACTTTCATTTGTCTTTCAATTTCATTGCCCATGTATATTATTGAGAATAGAGGTATGTGAGTACATTGAGGTTGTGCACTAATGCTGTCACCACAGCTCGTATAAATTCCCTCATGGGGAACCGAACATTCGTTCAGTATTCGTCCAGAAGGACCTGTCCAGATGTTACAAAGAACCCCGGTAACTATCCAGAGGTCATAAAGATCCTCGGCAACTATCCATATGTTCCTTTCAACATAAGTAAACCCTCGACTCTTGGCATGCCAACTATACCTATAGCTCTCGTATCATATACTATGGGCATTTATTTATACATTTCGTATCACTTGTTCTTTCTCTTCTGTCACATACCACATGTATGTGTAACCATATATCTCATATCATATCACATGTATTATATATACATGTATTCACGTAAATCATTTCATGTAATTCATATCACATATATCACATGTGCATATAAGCTTATAGCTTCTTTCACATACATGTAGTCACATAGCTTTCTTTCATGTAACCATGCATGTCATGTCAAATAACATATATCATATGTTGCATTTTCACTTAAGTATATAAATCATATAACATAGCATCCATCTATTTCTATGTATTAATGCATACATGGTAATCACATAACAATTTAGAAGTTACTTCTTACCATAGTAACTCCATCACTGGCTTATCACAAGCCAATGTTAATTCAATAAAATAAGTACAAAATAAATTGCACTCACCTTAGCTTTGCTTTGATTCGATTCTAATTCCTCAATTATCCCGAAACGGATCACTTTCTATCTCTACATAACAATACACAGATTCATATCAATATTCCAATTGATATATTCTAAACTGTCACTTCTTAGGCTAAGAAAAAAGCCAATTTCCTCTTTCAATGAAGGTATGCATCGATGCACTACTTGTGCATCGGTGCATAAAATGCATTCGATGTTATTATTTTAAAAGGATGCATCGATGCATTAGCTATGCATCGATGCATCAAAGGCATTCGATGTTCTTCTTTTAAAGGAATGCATCGATGCACTTATGAATGTGCATCGATGCACCTTGTCCAGAAATTGTATTTCAAGCCCGAAATTCATCAATTCTTCATTCAATTCTTCTATTTTAATCTCCTATCATGTCTTTAAACTCAACTATCATTATTGAAACCAACTTATGTCCATATAAATCATATTTATCTTCCATATTTCATCAAGATTCTTAAAATTAAGAATCTTACTAAACTTTCAAATTTGTTATAAATCTTTTCTAACTTCATAAATCTCTTATTCTTCTTGATGACAAGTCAAATTCCATCTTAAAAATCTCTTATTAATTCTTTTCCAGAATTTCCTTTAAAAACCCATTTTCTTTAATCTTTCATAACTTCTTTATCTTTCAATCTTAAGATAACTTAAGCTTTCCTTAAGCTTAGTTATTATCATCTAATGATCAAAACCCAACCATAAATTTAGCAAATAACCAACTAACAAAGAAACTCACCTTTGCAAGCTTGGCTCTTCACGTTTGAGAGAAGATGAAGATGAAGAAGATAAGTCTAAAACTTATCTCTTCAATCATACATCTCATATATTATAATACCCATTTATTAATATTTAATATTATCTTTGTTCAATGACCATTTTGCCCTTCATCTACTTTAATAATTACTAACAACTTTTAGGAATTATTTCCAAATAAATCATTGAATTATTCTATTCTTCTACTTAATTCATCAAATTCTTAAACTTTACAATTTAGTCACTAACCCCTAGTTTGGGATGTTACAATTCTCCCCTCCTTAAGAAAATTCGTCCTCGAATTTTCACTTTATAACAATATGAAGCAATCCTTATATACAGTCCTCTTTTATTACTCAATACATATCTCTTTCACTCATGCTATAAACAATCTAACACAACTTATAACACTTATCTTACTAGATTCTTTAAACTCTATCATTCTCATTTCTTTCTCT